AGAGGAATCGCACCGGCAGTCGACGCACCGAGAGTCTCGCAAACTCATTTCCGCGCTTTTTTTCTTTTTTTTTTCTTCGTAACGTAGTTTCTTCCCGTACAGCGAGTGCGACATGGAACTCAATTACGGAATACTCGCGGGAGCGTCTGCGTATAATCTCGGCCTTTTCAGTGTCCTGGCTGCCAACGCCGCCGAGTGTCCTTAATTTCGGCTCGGATCATTACTCCTGCGTCCACTCCGACACGGTCAAAGTCGAGGGGCAGTGCGCACAAGTCAAGGACCAGCCGCGCTATGGCGCCGCGGCCTGCAATTTGAGGACGGTCGCGAGCATGGCCTCCCGTCGTGGTGTCGTGGCGTGTAACGCGGTGCGGCATTCATCACCGAAGATCTAGTAACCTCCCATGGGGAACAACTGTTCTTGTACTGTTCAGCGGCGATTTCCGGAAGCGCGTTCCAATTACTCAGGCTCCTCGCCTTCGTTGTTAAGTGAAGTGGAAGAAGTTAGGTGTCGTCGTCTTTCGAAGTAAACGAGCGAGCGAGTGAATGAGTGAGTAAATAAGTGAGTGAGTCAATGAATGAGTGAGTGATTACGTGGGTATGTGAGTGCGTGGGAGAGTGAGTGAGAAGGTGAGTGAGTAAGTGGGTGAGTGAGTTGGAGAGTGGGTGGGTGGGTTGGTGCGTTAGTGCGCGAGTCAGTGAGTGAGTGAGTGAGCGAGTGAGCGAGTGTGTGAGTGATTACGTGATAGGTGAGTGCGTGGGAGAGGGAGTGAGAAGGTGAGTGAGGCAGTGACTGAGTGGGTGAGTGTGTCGGAGAGTGGGTGGGTGAGTGGGTGCGTTAGTGCGCGAGTGAGTGAGTGAGTGAGTGTGTGTGTGAGTGAGTGATTCAGGTGTCTTCGAAGGTATAATAACAATGATTCTGGAAGCTTCACACTCCAAAACCATCTTGTTATTTCGAGAAATGCTGCAGTAGAGTGTTCTGGAAAATTTCATCATCTGATGTTCTTTAACGGGCACATAATTAAGCACACAGGCCTATAGCCTCTTCCTTCTATCCAAATGCGGCCGCCACGGTCAGGATTGTATGCCGCGACCTTCGGGTTTTCGAAATTTAGTGACCGACGAAAAAAAAGTTAGTGAGTGAGTGGGCTAGCTAGTTAGCTGGCAAGTGTATAAGGTGACTGACAAAAAAAAAAAACATTTTCTACCGAATTGACAGTTTCTCTCGCGTTCTTCATTCGGTTTGAATGAAATGCCACATTGCAAAATACCCAATTTTAACATCCCAATGAAATGCCTCGTTCATATAACCACGATGCTGACAGCACTAGGTTTGAACAAACAAAGAAAATAAGCTAATGAAACTGTCTAAATCAAACTTTGTCCACGGAGCACAGAAAAATTTCTCGTGGACACGTTGAGCTTTACGAGTCCCAAAAGGGCGCAATTTATGAAGGGTGGTTCTCCTTTGCTCAACCGTAGATTGCGCAGACGAACACAGTAGGCCCAACGTTATATTCCTTATGCACTTATGTCCTGGCCACTCTCCTTCTTTTATGACGTCATACATGAAGAGGTGCATAAATGCTCGGAACAAGAGCATACCTCACTGAGATCCGTGCGTCTTTGTCGTCATCATTGACCTTACCATATAGTTCACATCACTCTCCTATCGCGTCCCGTCGCACAAGGCCCGTGTGCTGATATTTCGGCGGACGTTAAACCACACCAGGTAGTCAAAATTTCTGAAGTCCTCAACTACAGCGTTTCTCATAATCATAGGGTGGTTTTGGGAGAATAAACCCCACTTTCCTATCTATCTATCTATCTATCTATCTATCTATCTATCTATCTATCTATCTATCTATCTATCTATCTATCTATCTATCTATCTATCTATCTATCTATCTATCTATCTATCTATCTATCTATCTATCTATCTATCTATCTATCTATCTATCTATCTATCTATCTATCTATCTATCTATCTATCTATCTATCTATCTCTTTATCTATCTATCTATCTATCTATCTATCTATCTATCTATCTATCTATCTGTCTATCTATCTATCTATCTGTCTATCTATCTATCTATCTGTCTATCTATCTGTCTATCTATCTATCTGTCTATCTATCTATCTATTTATCGATCTAAGGTGTTTTTCTGTGAAGTTTGCCTGCGCTGTGGCGTAGAAGGCATAGTGGCACCTGCCAAAATCGCTAATTTAAAAACGCGCTTCCAATTACGCTCAAGTATAAATGAAGCAGACATACGTGCGTCATAGACGCTCATCATATTTGGCCGTCCTGAACAAAATATGGTCGTGTATGTAAACCAAGGCTTCGCCTGTGAGGCTTTTACCTCGCTGGCAATCAGACGTCGCGTTACGTTCAATCATATTATTCACTCCTTCCATTCTCTCTCTCTTGCGCGTCACATCGCAATCAACGTAAGCATAGACCCACTGCAAATATCAACTGGAGCTCACGGCTGACCAGAACGAGCGCCAAATATAGGCGTGTATAGAAAGTAGAGCGCGTATAGAAAGTATAAAAGATTAAAGAAAAAGAAACGCTCAAGTATATACAGAGAAGGGAGATCCGTCTGAATAATTAGGCGCTAAAGAGAAGCCAGATCCCGTTTTACGACCATTTTACGAGGACCGACACGGTGGGCAGCTGACAACGCTATCCTGCAATATGTTGGCGCTAATATATCGCTCACTCCCTTCAGCCATGCTTTTTCTCTTCTATAGCGTTCTTGAGCCTCTCTATACCATTGCCCGGATATCTCGTCTAAGTACGCCCTCCACACCGTGCCTTTATGGGCCTGTTCTCCTCGCTATATAGCGCAATAACTGCAGACTTTTCTCGATGCGTCGTTTGCGTTATTGGCTTGGATATGTATTTCATTTTGGGGGTTAGGTGACCCTAGCAGCTTGAAAAAGCACACGCACGCACGCACGCAAGTACACACACACAAACACACACACACACACACACACACACACACACACACACACACACACACACACACACACATCTGGTGCTTTATGCATTCATTTAACTTGAAGGCAATAGCCGTTTAATTATTTTTCCCTCACTTGATGTGCTGATCCTACTACGCCCTACTCCGAAAGTTTTTTTTTATTCACCTAACGTGGTTTTGTGTTGCCTCAAAGATTCAAGGTATTGCAAGATCGCTGTACCTCACCTGTATTTGCAACGCCTCCATGATCGGCCCACCTTTCACCAAGCGACAATGTCAAGTGATAGCGTCGTCATGCGATGTCATGTTGACCCCGCGAACTTTAACCATCTCCGACGGCTTGACGACATCCTTTGGTGACATCATATAGTGGAGTTGTCCCATGATGATTTTCTTACGTCGCTCGGGTTGACGCCAGCTGTCAGTTATTGGCGTTTGATGTGGCGTCAAAGCTTTTCAGCTTAAACATGCATAAGAACCCAACATGTGTAGGAAGTCAGTCTCAGCATGTGTATGAAGTGAGCAGGTGTAGGAAAGAGTATCGAAACACGCTAGCGTCAACCATCATCCTACGTTGCAATGACCACGCTCTTTCGGGAGCCCACAACGCTGCCAGTGCGCTATGTGCCTATACAAAAGATGGGCCCTGTGCGAAGCCGCTGGGGACGAGGTCGTCGTTAGTTGCCCTGTCACCTAATTCTTTATTAGATGCTGAGCAGCTCTTCGACGCACGTGTGTACCACAGTACGTACGTGCGTCCGTACGAACGCACTGCAACAGGTTCCCCTCGCCACAGGCTTTGAAGCGGTGCCAAGTAGGTCACGCCACAGCTGCGCGTTGACTTCACGCTCCCCTCACAGGTGCATGCTGATGTCACACTCTTTCGTACTCGCCGCAGGCTCACCGCAGCGCCCACAGCTGTCGACTCCTCCACCCGCTCGCGACACACTTCTCTCTCGCTTTATCCTCTCTACCACCCGCAACGCTCAACCGCACGTGGAGTGGAAACACTCTTTCGGCTCATTTATCTGCGATGAAACTTGCATAAAATCCAACCCACCTCCCGTGTCGTTGCGTTTAAAACAAATGTTTACTAGAGTAAAGACTACACCTAGTTTCGCTTCAAGCCGTTGTTCCAGCACCCGCATCGACGTCCATTGCAACCGGATCGATGCGGTGCGTACCGCTACTGCTTCGCATCCCATCACGGTTCCCTTCGGGGAGATGGTCCACAATTTTCAGCACTGAGCCACGAAGGAAATGACATATCTGCCCTCAAGTATCCTTGACTCCGTGTCGTCTCATAAAGTTTCTGAGTGTGTCCGGATTGCGACCACATTGAATTTCTTCCACAAGAGCCCTTAGTGACGAGTGCTGTTTTTTCACCTTTTTTAACAAAAATTTACGGATCTTTTGAATTGCTGTTTATGGCGCGGCTGCCCCATTTCTTTTTAGTCTAACACTAAAGTGTAAAACTGTAAATCTTCAATTTTAAAGGCCATTTTCGGCTGCTTGAAGAGCCCCCCTCCCAGTCCACCCATCAGTTTTTACATAAAGACGTGGTTGCACAGCAAATATGATAGCTGTTGACTAACGAGCTTTGTAATAATAATAATAGCTCACAAGCTGAGGTGAACTTGTAAAGAATTTGACGAAATAAACAAATTCCCATCAGTGGCGTCATAGCAACGAAGCTTAATACAGATGAATGCTGTCTGTCATTTTAACATCACTCGGTAAAGAATGATAGATGATTTTTAAACATGGCACGTGGTTGCAATGGCGGGTAAGAAAACTCTGGTCTGAATCGTAATTGAAATATATTTTTGTTCTAGAAATATTTCATCTTACTTTTAAAGGGTGATGATTCAAACGAGGTACGAAATGAGGGGCCAAAGGTAACAAGTTTCCTTCTCTATCTTAACCGTCGCCAGTTGGGCTGTTGCGTGGGCATCGCTGCACAAAACAGGCCATTTATGCCTCTTATGATTTGCGCCTTCTGGCATGACTTACGGACAACTTGAGGGGAAACTTGACGTGGTCATCGTCGTCTCCCTCGTAGTCTTCTTCTTTCTCTTGTTCACCTGGCGCAGCTAAGGTAGGCGCGTTGGCCGCCTCGAGTGCGTCGATCTTTTTGTCAAGCATGGCAGCCACCGGATCGTCCACGTCCACTATCCTAAGCGACGTGACCTTAGCCTTGCTGTAGATGAAGTCCTTCAGGTCGGCCATGTGGAAGTCCTGCGCAAAGATGTGTAAAATTACCGTTCCTTTTACGGGAGTGAGAAATCAACTTCTTAGCTTAGCTTGTAAGTGTTCACGCTGCCAAGGTGAAAGAAGCTGGTTCAAGTAAGTTTTGTTGGGTGAGTTACAAGGAGGTACATGATAGCGCAAACTTGGACAAGAAAGATTCGAGAAAAATCCAGGAGAGAGCAGAAAGGTCAGACGCTAGACTTTAACTGTTTATTTGAAAGAACAAGTGACAAGATTCGAAGGTTTTCAAAATGACACATCTTCTTCATATACCAGTGTGACCACTCCTAGCCCATATTTATGCGCACATGCGCAGTTAGTTATAATCCCTGGGCTTGTTCTTTGAAATAAACAGTTGATGTTTGGTGTACGAACCTTCTACTCCCTCCTACTTCTTTTTCGGAATATTTATTTTCCAAGTATATGCTATTATGTAACCCTAAGTATATGATATAGTGTAACAGTGGTTTGATTCCTTGTCATGACGGCCACGTTTTATTAAGACTGAATGAAAAGAGAGCTTCGTATTTAGCATTAAACGATACGAAAGTTAGATCATGAATGCTAAATAGCCTCCTGTGGTCAAAATTATTGTAGTTTGTCACTTGAAACTCAGCATTTTGATTAACAAAGAAGAGTAAACTCTAAGGCAAAAGGGTGTTAAAAGGGTGTGTGGTTCGTCCTTTTGGGGACTGATGGGGCTGCCACAACCATTAATCCCTTCAAGGACTAACGGCACTGGGTCTAACAGTTAGTCCCCTCAAGGGTCTAACATTTAGTCCACACATTCACACCTTAGTGAGTAACCGGTAGACCCACAGTTCGCCTGTGCCAAAGGACTAACACTTAGTCCTCATATTTGCACCTTATAAAGCAACTGTTAGTCTTTACATTTACACCTTACCGGGCAACCATTAGTCCTCACAGTTGCACCTTGCCGGGCAATCGGTTTATCCACTCAAAGACTCCAATCGGATGAACTTTTTGTCCACACTTGAAACATTGTTTTTTGTTTATTTTTCGCCAGGCCTAATACTTTTTCACCTGTTTTTTTTTTTTTGCGCAGTGAACAACAAACTCCGCAGAAAAGAACACGCGAAAAAGTAGTTAGCCACCTATGTGTAACTGCTTTCACAGTCACGGCAACAACTGAAGACAAAAGTGAGACATCGACATCTTTTATTTTTCTACATACACATGAAGATTCCCCATTATTATAAGTGAATTCATGGTGAAGTGTACAAGTCCAGTCTCGCTGTCAAATCTTGTTCACTCCTTGGGGAGCTCCTCTGACAGAAGCGATAGAAGACAGGCATTTCAGACGCCAGCGCATGCAACCTCCTGCCTGTTGTGTTCCCACGGCTGCACGTACAATAATATAGTAAAAATAGTTAGGCACACGTCAAAGAAGATGGAGATGCACGCATATGACTAGTACGTGCACGTTAATATAAAAACAGGCGTTAAAACATCTCACACAAATAACTTTACGTAACTTCACATCTCGCACAGTCCTTCTGAAGCTGCGCTGACGAAAGAGATGGATGACGGGCATTGCAGATGCCAGCACACAGTCTTCAGCACGGTGCGTGCCCACGGCTGCACAATAAGTATGTAAAATAGTGAGTCACACGTGACATAGGATGAATACAAATGCATACGAGAAATACGTGCAAGGTGAAATGAAAACATATGTGAGATATGACATGCTAGTAATTCCACACACCATCAAAGACTCATTTCGATTCCCGTAGAGCAACAGCTTAGGAGCGGCGGCCGCAGTCACAACTCCCCGAACCACCATGCCGCTAACAAGTCGGCGAGTCCTAAGCGAGCGACGTCGTTCATCTTGAGCAAGCGAAGGCGAGACCAAACACGGCACTGAACGCGGAGTGTCTGCCGCCAGCGAACTTCGAACAGGATAGCGAGCGTACGCTTGGCCGCCGCCACGAACAGCGTCGAGCTGGTTTGCAGCTAGAGCCGAAGAAATCGACGGTAATGCGGCCCTTTTCCACAAACTCGAGCGAGTGCAGCACGCAAACGCGAGCGCCGCCATGGCCAGCGGACGGCTCTGTGCTGCTTGCAACCGACTGGCGGAAAAGTCAACTCTAATGGCAACCAATTTCCAGTGAGTTCCAACGCTAGCCAAAGCCCCACCAGCCCGTGCTGGTGCACTTACAGCGCGCGACACACTACAACCAAGCTCTTTACGAGAACCCGCAACGTTTTTTTTGACGACTCCCAATACAGCGACGAGGTCTCAGCCCAATATCGTCACCACGGAGCTCATCGCGGCGGCGAAGACAGGCGAGCACTCGATGAGCGAGCGTACGGGAGGCCGACGGCAATGGCGGACTGAAGCACAGGCGAACTGAAGACGCCGAAGCTGACCTTCGTGATGCATTTAAAGCGTGCGATATACAACACGACCAAGCCCTTTGCCGGCAAGCGCGATCCGTATCGCACACGCGACAAATAGAGTAGAATAAAGAATGATAACCTACTTGCCTTAGAATCCAGCGCTGTTTTCTGCCCTGAGTCGGACTGAAGTATATATCCGATAGGCCTGTTATTTTTTCGGCCGCCATAATGGCCTTCCCAACTGTTGCTGTCGTGTGTTGGTCGTGACTATCGTGAAGCCAGAGATATACAGCGTGGCGTGGTGACCTGTCGAGGCTTGCTCCAGCCTTCATGAATGCAGTGAAGTGCTAAAGCAGTAGCCCACGCTCATCCAGGCGTACACACAAGCACCACGTCGTAATTCTTGAATCGTCGAATCCAAGCAGCCGTGGTCGAGCACTCCGAGACGCTACGCGACCGCCGCCGGCAAAATACGGGGAGAGACTGAGCCAGCAGAGGAGGAGAAGGACGTCTGTTCCGTGGAGAAGGACGGCTGGCCACTTTGGCAACCCTTTTCGCGCTGCCTGCAATACCCGGGTGGTTCATCCCAGTGGAGACTAAGTGGTTTCGCGCCCCACGCTTTCCTCTGTGGTTGCTCCTCAACGGTCTATTCATTTATCGCGCACGTCTATTGGGCTCCGTTACTCCTTTTTCGGGTAATTTTGCCTTAGAGTGTACTTGACTTGACGAGTACTCGTTTCTAGGGTGCGCTGCCTAAAAACTACGGCTTTACCAGGTCGTTACTTATATTAAACGTATCTTTCGCCTGTTGGTAATGCAATTTATTGTACAATATGTTCAATGATATTGTGACGAAGCGAGGTCTAGGCTTATAGGCTAGCGTCCACCGAGAATCGGCAGCCGTACAAGATGTCTGAGTTGCCTCTCGCGCAAGCGCCTAACACACAGGCGTCTTCTTCATCTTCGCAAAGTGCCACGCTTGCTCCTGTCGATGATGCCCCGTAACATCACACCCCTGCGGCGGAAGCGCCGTCACGGCGCTTAGTACGGCGGCGACGAACGAGGAGGATGATACGGTTTGAGTCTGGCAACGTGTACAACGTCTGTCTGGAGTGAGGGGGTCGAAGAGGCATTGTTTAGGGGTGTGATCTCGTAGCTCACGTCACTAAGTTGTCCTAACGCTTTGTAAGGGCCATGGTAGTGTGATAGTAGCTTCTCTGATAAGCCGACTTGGCGGTTTGGTGTCCAGAGAAGTACCAGAGACCCCGGCGAGAAGTGGACGCTTTGGTGGCGACTGTCATAGCGGTCTTTTTGGTGCGCTTGCGACAAATGCAGCCGATCATGGGCAAGCTGGCGGGCTGAATGGGCTCGAGAAACGACATCGCCGGCGTACTCAGTAGACAAGGAAGCAGCCGAAGGAAGGAGCGTGTCAAATGGTAATGCTGGATGTCGGCCAAATAGCAAATAAAACGGCGAATAACTAGCTGTGTCGTGTGTGAAGAATTGTACGCGAACGTGACAAAGGGGAGTGCTTTGTCCCAGTCACGGTGATCTGGCGAAACGTACATTGACAGCATCTGCGTCAGCGTTCGGTTCAGACGCTTGGTCAATCCATTTGTCTGTGGATGATAAGCGGTGGTAAGCTTGTGCTCAGTGGAGCAGGCGCGGAGAATATCATCCACAACACGTGAAAGAAAGTACTTTCCTTGATCAATAAGCAGCTGCCGCGGAGCGCCGTGATGAAGAATGACATCATACAAAAGAAAGTCAGCGACGTCAGTGGAACAGCCTGTCGGCAGTGCTTTAGTGATGGCAAAGCGTGTGGCGTAGTCTGTGGCGACTGCAACCCATTTATTTCCGGAGGTGGAAGTAGGAAACGGGCCCAACAGGTCAAGGCCAACACGGAAGAATGGTTCCGTCGGTATGTCAATGGGCTGTAGGAGGCCAGACGGTAGCACAGAGGGGCGCTTGCGGCGTTGGCAGCGGTCGCAAGCAGTGACGTAGCGAACCACAGAACGATACAGTCTGGGTCAGAAAAAGCGACGTCGCACACGATCCTAGGTACGAGAGACGCCTAGGTGACCGGCTGTAGGTACGTCATGTAGTTATTTGAGAACGCTGGTACGCAGGTGATGGGGAAGCACGAGTAGCAATTCCGGGCCATCAACGTTGAAGCTGCGACGGTACAGAATGTTGTCGTGCAGTTCGAACAGGTGAACAGAAGGGTCTGTTGGAGCAGAGGTCAGACGCTCGATGATGGATAGTAACGACGGGTCACGTCGTTGTTCGGTGGAGATATCACCCAAAGCATGTATGGAGAGAACGCAGGGGTCTGAATCAAGGTCTGTCAAGTCGTGCGTTTCAACCGGATAACGTGACAAACAGTCTGCGTCTGTGTGCAGGCGTACCGACTTGTAGTGGACCACGAACGAGTATTCTTGCAGACGGAGCGCCCAGTGACCGAGACGTCCAGATGGGTCCTTTAGCGATGACAGCCAGCAAAGAGCGTGATCGTCCTTAACAACGGAAAAAGTTCAGCCATACAGGTAAGGCCTGAATTTCACCACGGCCCACACTAAAGCTAGGCATTCACGCTCAGTGATGGAGAACTTCCGTTCAGTAGATGAAAGAAGACGACTGGCGTAAGCAATCACGCGGTCCTTCCCGTGCTGTCGTTGGCCAAGGACCGCTCCAATTCCATGGCCACTGGCATCGGTCCAAAGCTCTGTAGGTGATGCAGGGTCGAAATGGGCCAGTATTGGTGGCGTAGTCAGCAGATGGATAAGAGCCGAAAAGGCGTCCGCTTGCTCTATGCCCCATGCGAAGGGAACGTCCTTCGTTAAGAGATCAGTAAGCAGTCGAGCGATGTCGGCGAAGTTGCGGACAAATCGACGAAAATAGGAACATAGCCCTACAAACCTTCGGACGTCCTTGGTTGAGCGTGGTTCAGTAAATTGTTGTACTGCTCGCAGCTTTTCGGGATCTGGTTGAACACCATCGGCACTGACAAGGTGGCCGAGTATGGTGATTTGGCGACGTCTGAAATGGCATTTTGCAGAATTGAGCTGGAGAGCAGCTCTTCGCAAAACATCCAGAACGGCTGACAGACGTGTTATATGGCTGTCAAAGGTAGGTAAAAAGAAGATGACATCGTCCAAGTAACATAAGCAGATGGACCACTTATGTTTTCGGAGAAGAGAGTCCATCATGTGCTTGAAAGTTGCCGGTGCATTACACAGTCTAAATGGCATGACTTTGAACTGGTAGAGGCCGTCGGGCGTAACGAAAGCGGTTTTTTCACGATCCATGGGGCCGACGGAAATTTGCCAATAGCCGGACCGAAGGTCGATAGACGAAAAGTATTGGGCACCATGGAGGCAATCGAGGGCGTCATCAATCCGAGGCAAAGGGTAGACATCTTTGTGGGTCACATTGTTTAAATGGCGATAGTCCACGCAAAAGCGCCAGCTGCCATCCTTCTTCTCAACGAGCACGACTGGGGAGGCCCAGGGGTTGGATGATGGTTCTATTACGTCTTTAGTAATCATTTTGTCCACTTCATTCTGAATTACTTGGCGTTCCTTATGAGGTACGTGATATGGACGCCGCCGTACAGGACTGGCATCACCAGTGTTGATCCGGTGAGTCACTGCAGTCGTTTGGCAGAGAGGGCGGTGGTCAAAGTCGAAAACGTCTCTATATGATGCTAGCAGACTATGGAGGCTGGCAGCTTGCGCTGCAGTGAGGTCGGTAGCAATCATCTTGTTAATGTCATCTGCAGACAGAGTGTAATTGCGGCCAAGACAGGGGGATGTAGTATCGGTGTCCAAACCAGTAACGTTGCAGCTGTCAAGTGGAGATAGGGTGGCCGAAGACATGTCTTGCGGAATAACTTTAGTCAAGAGACTCACGTTGAGTAGTGATATAACCACTGTATTATTAGCGACGGCGACAACAGTGTGAGCAAGGGCGACGTCTCGGGCCATCAGTACGTCGACTATAAGAGTGACGAGGTAGTCACCATCGGGCACATGACGTGAGCACGACAAAGTTACATATGTAGCAGCTTGCGGAGGCAAGCGAACGTGGTGACGAGAGCATAAACGGGGAGAATAGTCAGCTGGAAAATCGGCAAACTGCGCCAGTTCAAGCTGAAGAGCACCAGTGGCACAATCAATGAGCGCAGAATGACGTGACAGGAAGTCCAAACCAAGTATTAGGTTATGAGGACACATTTAAATGACGGCAAACTGAACTAATGTAGGATGACCAGCAATGGACACACGAGCCGTGCACATCCCTTGAACGTCGGGGGTCCTCCCATCAGCGACACGAAGTGTGCGGGAAGCGGCAGGCGTGAGCACTTTATGTAGGCGTCGGCGAAGGTTCGTGCTCATTACAGAAATGTGCGCTCCAGTATCTATAAGGGCAGAAATAGCCACACCGTCAACGGCAACGTCTAACATACTTTGTCTCGTCGGAAGCGTCAAGAGAGGATTTGTGGAGGGAGTTTGTTCTGTTTTAACTGTTTTGCTGTGGAGAGGTTGAGGTGCCTATTGCCTCGGCTACTCCATATCACAAAGTTCTGCAGCGAAAAATAAAATAATAATACAGAACTGTACCCAAAGATTAACAATACGGAAAAGAAAAAAAACATAACAGCACACTGAAACCAGTTCAAATATCATGCCAATACGCAGTTTTTTTCACGCAGTTCACACAGTCATAAACTACACACGCACACCTTACTAAACTAATGTGAGTATATACATGACCACACTTTACATAATACCCATCTCTGGCTGTCAGTCATAGGCGCTTGTCCAGTCCGGTCTCCACTAAAAAGTCTGTCAGGAAGATTATTGCCTTTTTCTGGAGATGCATCTCAGGCCGTGGTCCAAGTAGTTTCTTTATTTTGGAGGGAGTCGAAAATGCAGCGTCACCTGCGGGCGCTGCACCGTTCAGTTTTCCGGGTAGGCAGGAGCGGGGTTGAATGGGGACGACGGCCTGCGAGTCTGCGGTGAGCGAGACGACTGGCGACGTCCTGGAGGCGAACGCAACTGACGACCATGCAGTGACGGAGATCGGCTGTTGAACCTTCTGTAGTTGTTTGGCGGAGGAGGCTGCACGGCAGATGCGAAGCGGGTGCTGTCCTGTCGGTAGTGAGGTTGAGATGAAGTCCGAGGTGGCGAGGACCAGCGGTAATTGCAGTAATGGACGACATGACCGACACCGTGGCAATGAAAACAAATTGGTCGATTGTCGATGGTTCTCCACTCAGCAGGGTCGCGAGATCGGGCCGTAAACTGCTGCTCGTGATAGGACGAGGGTGGACGCCATGGAGCTCGCTGCGGGCTGGGCAAAGCGCACGCCGAGGGAATACCTATGCTGGCGAGTTCTTGGCGGACGATGGCTTGAACCATGTTAGCAGTGAGTGGGGTTGTGTCACTTGCAGTGGTGTGAGCCGGAGCAGAGGTAATGGCTTCAAGTTCGCGCCGTACAATTCGGGTCACCTGATCCGATGAATCTAGAGGTGGCGGCTGTGTTGTTGCACGATCTTCGCAAGACGACGTTGCAGCCGTATTCGGAAGGCGGGTAAACACGCTGTTAATCCGCCGGCTCTTCGCTTGCTCAAAGCGCCCAACACACAGGCGTCTTCTTCATCTTCGCAAAGTGCCACGCTTGCTCCTGTCGATGATGCTCCGTAACAACATAAACGTAAGGAATCGTCATCGTGGAAAGCAGTGAGCGCCGTCGTCGTCTGCGCTGCCTTCAGCTTCATCTCGGGCTGAGCTTCCCCACAAAAGTTAATATGCGAAATGCTAAACTGTTCAGAAAGCATCTCCGATTGTAGCAAAAGTAGTGGTCAAGCCCTACAGCAAGTCTTGCAAAAAAAGAGGAATTTATACTGATATTGTTTTGCATAGTCGACACAAACCGGTCAATCTTGTTCTCAAGAAAGCGGCCAGGAATTTTTTAAGAGGAGTGGAGGTGGGGGGAAGGCTTGTCGAAGACTTTTAAAAGCATCTATTCTCGTTTGTTCTTTATAAAACAACCTTCCCCTCCACTTTCTCAAAGGGGGCACCTAGGGCAATCTCCCAAGGCTAGGGACCTTACGGCGCTTATGACAACATATTTGTGGCCGAATGTAAGTGTTCGATGTCTTGCTTAAGCGCACCATGTCACTAGAAGACGCGTGCGTTGGAGTTCGTGGTACATTCAGGCTTCTCGCTAAGAGCGTGCTGAAAACCGCAATCTCGTTTGGCGCATTTCCTCTCTATCCTGATTGCTATTCCCAGCTTAGCCCTGACAGCATTATTAGCACTGCGGGACAAATGCGGTGGGCCGCAAGCGTTCTCGTTCTCGTTACTGATTATAAACTGTTGACGGCACTCCACGCCACCCAGACATAGCTAAGTGTAGCAAGCGTTATCGAACGCGGGATCCTTCACAATAAACTCTTCGTACCGACCGCTATACGAGTGTGATGATAATATCGTAGATTTTACGTGCCGAAACCACGATGTGATTATGCGGCACACAGGAGTGGAACATCCCCGGACATTTTGAATACCCGATGTTTTTTTTTTTTACGTGCACTGAAATTTTGCAGTACACGGGCCTCTAGCATTTCGACTCCATGAAAACGCGACTGCCATAGCAGGAATCGAACCCTTCACCTTCGGGAGCCGAAACCACTCTACTATCGAGGCGGACGCCTTTTTTGTGTCAACGAATTTTCACCAATCGGGGCGCACCAGGTTTGAATGGCGTGACATGACATCCAAATTGGTGCTCTGGTGGATTCCCGTAAAGTTTTCTATAAATATGCTACAGAGAACTCCGGCGATAGTAACTGTTGGAGCTCTATAGCACGGCGCTTCAGCGAGCATGTGAATGAGGGATAACGCACAAATTAGTCTAACCTCCGTTCTTTCGGCTTCATTTGACTTCGCGTGGTTTGAAGCTGCTTTGTCGCGAGACGAGAACCGGCGAAGGTTTATTCGTTGCACTTTAACGCTTTAACCTTTTAGGCTTACTAATTCAAATCGTGTGACAAATTTCGAAACGGTTTGTTCTCATATTCAAAACGAAACCAAAACACTACAACACGCAAAGTCACAAGTGCGTGCGTGTCCCGCTAGCGCAAAGACTGGGCAAATTTGTGCACTACCCATCATTCCCACGGCCGCTGAAGGTTCACAGCGCCACAGTTCAATCTAGTTCATTTTAGGAAACTCTATGTGGATTCCTGTCAGCACGCATTTTCGGAGGCCATGGGTGTTATAGGTTCGTCTATGAAGGACTCACCAGAGAACGAAACAGGTAGCTGTACTCATCGTTGAGCATCTCGATCTGCATTGCCTGCATGAGGAATGGTTCGGTGTCCTCTTCCTCGATGGCGACGATTATGTGCGTGTGGCCGTCCTCACGGACCCGCTTGAGCACATCGCGGAACGAGTCCGTCGAGTTGCGCGCGTAGTGGTCCGCATCGATGTCGGCCTCCCGCAACTCCTCGAGAAGGCCCTTCATCTCGGCTACCTCTGCGAGGAGGAGAGAAGGAGGCGTTCATACTAACACTTGTGATGCGGGCGTAACGGAAAAGCTCGAAGAGAGCCTTGATTGAGAGTTGATTGGCTCATTATTTGACTGATTGGCTGGTTTGTTGACTGATTGATTCATTCATTCATTCTTTCAACATCCACAGGAACTGGAGAGAAACATGAAAGAATGGACAGATAGGAACGTTAGACAAGATATGTGTCCGGTTTGCTGCTCTGTACGAGTGGCCTTGGATGAGGTGGAGATGGTTAAGAAGGTAAACATTACAAAATACGAACACCCCCCCCCCCCCAAAAAAAAAAAATATGAAGAGACCTCGCTTTATCAGGAAAAGGGGGGAAAGTAAGCATTACGTCCACGTGCCGGAGGTGATTTCTTTCTTTCTTTCTCTCTCTCTTTCTTTCTTTCTTTCTTTCTTTCTTTCTTTCTTTCTTTCTTTCTTTCTTTTGCATTGTACAATACGCCTTCTAACTGCTTCCGTTCATCACATCGGGGAACGGAACCTAAATCAACATACATGGATGGCATGGCAACACTTCAGTTGCTGCTGGCTAGATTAACAGTCCCTCGTTGACGTACGGGTGACATAAAATTTCGCAACGCGGAATTACAGGTCCCTTTTACACAAGATCAGTTTGCAATGTCTGAAACGGCTCATTGCTGAGTAGCCCACTCATTTCGATTATTGAAAAACTATGCTCGGCCCTACCGGCTTTTTTCCGTACGTCGCCACTACTGAAATTTGTGAGTTATGATATATTCAATTAAAGGGAGAGCGAACACATATGGCGAAGGGAAGCACAAGCAGTGCGTGTACCTCGGATCTACGAGCAGCTTCATTGATCTCTCTTTGACGACAAATTGTAGCAATATTCCTGATAATTTGTGAGATTTCAGAGCATGAGGTCGTCGACAGTATTCATCCCTGAATATTTCTAATGCTCTGGCTGTTTAACAGTGTCCGAAATATTTACCTGGTCTTCAGTAAAATCTATTAGAATGTAGCTAAAGCATCGTTTTTTGCATGTCCCGACCCTCGAAACGTGGCCTGTATGATACCGAAAGTCGAACCCTCGACCTTTAGCTCATCACAAATTCGTCGTGAGCACAGCACAATCACACCTGAAGGCTGAATGACAAATTGCTGGGGTCGAAATGCGTTCAGTGCAGCGGAGTGGGATGGAGAGGTTCTTAGTATTGTTGGTCGTTACATGCCATAATGCTTATAAAGTACGCAATGACCTCAGTTGTGTGGCCACGTGGCAGATCAACTGAAAACTGTCTTTCTGCCGTAAACGGTAAAAAAGAAAGGTAGCTCAGTAGGGCGTAGGCAAAAGAAAGATTGCGTAAATATCAATTCTGTAGTGAGGTTACGACGCTGGAAGGCGCTTTCGGTTGGCCATGCCTCTCTAGCAGCCCGGTAAGAAAAACAAGATTACGTAATTTTGCAAATTTCGTCTTGAGTCGATATGACAGCACGAAAGGAGGCTTAGGTAACGTGCGCTGTTCTTTTCTCTACACTCGCTTACTTAGCTTCTCCGTTCCATTTCGTTGAATCATATGAGCATGTATTACTACAGGCTGGAGCAAGCTGAATACAGCAGCCTTCTTGCCCTGTGTTTCGTTTCTGGAGGCCTTACTTCTTCACCGGTACACATTTCAGGTGCAGCGCAGCAATTAGGAAGTACCTGTTGTGTAATGTTCTCAACGTTGTGCATATTTTTCTTCCTAAGTTCTCATTTAAAATAAGTATGAAGGGTCAGGGGCGTCAGTATAAATTTTTTTTCGGAGAGAGTGGTGAAGAAGAGGTACTCTTTTTATTTCGGAAGGAGGGAGCAACTCCTCGAAATGTTAAATTTTCGCTCGGAATGCCATTATCCACCCCCGCCCCCCACCCAAAAAAAAGAAACATTAGAAGGGGGGTTGCGGGACTTGTGCGCCGTTTGCCACGCCACCGTGGTGCGTATTATTTCTCTAAATTAAATTATTGCCCCCCCCCCCAATAAAGAAAACTAGTAACTTTCAATTAAAACAAGACACTGGTGGTGAGCAGTGAGACTAAATACAAGTCCTAGAATAAAATCTAGAAAACACATAAGAAAAGCTGCAGAAGGAAGTGAAGTTCGTATTGTAGCTCATGTAAGATAAGACGTGCTAATATATACCGGCACAACAAATGCAGGGCTACCAAAAGTACGCAATTTTTGCGCAATTCGTGCCTGAAGTTGCGAAGAAGTTTCAAAGCACAATACTTTCAAACAGGCCGAACTACGTAACTTTTTACCACGCCAAAGCATTTACTGTTCGAAAACGGCTGTTATGCGCTGGTAGTACCAGTAATAACGGTATTTTTGTTATTTCTACCTCGGAAAAAAATTATTGAGTTAGTCAAATATTGTTCATATTAACAAAGAAAAAATCTGCGGTACCCTTTTTAGTTTTCTTCAACTATTTTCACGATAACAACATTCACCACCAGACTACTATCTGCGTGTTTGTGCATGTCTTAGAATAAATAATACTATTTAAATTAATACTTCGTGTGCGCGCGGGTGCGTTGTCTGTTTGTGAGTGCTTTATGCCGGAAACGGTGATCGAATTTCGATGAAGGCAAAATGTTTCACGAAATACACGCAATACTCCGCAATACACGGAGGCCCGTGTATTTAGCGTTGTCAGTGCGCCTTTAAGAACACCAAATGGCCGGAATTTCAACAGCCCTTCTTTACTGCGTTCCTCAAAATCACATCGGGGGTTTGGCACTTAAAACTCCAGGCATTATTATTATTATTATTATTATTATTATTATTATTATTATTATTATTATTATTATTACATGGCAGCAGAATACGCCCTTCTGTTTGCAAAGTAGTCTTTCGAGTTTTTTCTTTTTATTAGTTGCCGCAGCCAACGGTTCAAAGCAAAAAATGAATCGCGTTTCTATTTTTTTGTGCTCACGAAGCAATACCGACGGCCTTTGAATGTTTTCATGTTTTTCCGAAGCAACACAAACAGAGAGAAATCATAGTTTGCATTGTTAATTAGTAACACACTCTTCTAGTCACATGTATCTCTCGTTTTCGTTCACTCCTTGAACTCCACACCTGTCGGCCTTTGTTTTGCGAAAGCTGTGTTTAAGGTGCCATAAAATGCCCGGAGGCTGCTGTGCGATTGTCTTGACGAACTCTGCAGTAGAGAGCGGTTGTTTGAGGTGTGTTAAATTTATGAGGTGTGAATACTGTCCTTGCGAACACGATTTGATTGTTGCAGCTGGATAACTAATGTGTCTGTTCTCTGGTGTGTAAATGTTGCGCTGTTTTACGCTTATTGACATGTTCACGATGCAAACTACAATGTAAAAGAAAACAAGTAGCCGCAGCTACACCTGTTCAACAGTCTCTCCTTAAGCACAAATAATAATGAAAAGGATATCAGTAAGAGATTACCTGCCGCAGACTAAATGTGTCAGCTAGTTCAAAACTATCGAACTTCAAAGATACCCCTGCACCCCATCAACAAAATTAAGAATAAGCTCCTCTCTAACGACATCCACAAATGCAAAAAAAAAAAGAGAAAGAAAGACATCGGTCAAGAGCACCAATATGTTCGAATTCTCTGGTCACGCCTTCTCGCGCGCGAGTTATCGTCCATGCACTTGCGTAACACATGCTTGGCTTAAAAAGAGGCCTGAAATAGCGTTGCTCAAGTTGAAAACACCCTAAGCAGCTTTTCAATCGAGTCTTGTCGCTACAGACGAACGGGCCATAGAAGAGTGGAAAACTTTTGGGGGCAAAGCACTCGAATTGCCATCCGCAGAGTTGTGCCAACCGCTTGGACGCACTGCTCTTGGGCGCAAGTTCGCAATGAATGCGGCATGCCAATGTGAACTTTTTGTGCAAGAATCGCAATACGGCCACCTGCTGGCATTTTTACTGTTGCCTTTTTTTTTTCGCTGAAACATCTGCAGGTGCTTAAAATTCAATTTTAGAGTATTATGTACCTACAACTATAACGCTATTGCAAGGAACGCTGAAATGTTGAACATGGGGTTATTTTGACCACCTGTAATTTTTATATTGCACCTAAACATGAGCATTTCACGGGCTCGATGTTTTTATTCAGCCTTGGTCGAAGGACAACTTCAGCGAATTGGAGTCGAACTCGTGTCCTGAAGCTTAGCGGAGCAGGACCTTAGTCGATAAGCCACACCACAGTATCAAAGTGGTTGGTATGCTAAATAAGGTGCATGCTGAGAGGAAAAGGAAGAAGAATGAGAGGCGAGGGTTGGTATTAGGACTCTGAAAGCAGTTTGTTGTCCATGATAGTTCTAATCGGGATTGTACAGTGGTGGTCAGCCTAAACAGGAAATGTGATACTTTTGACGACTTTCCGTTACTGTTGAGAAATTGCATTCATGAGTTCAAAACAAAAAGAGAAACACCAGTAAAAACGCTTCTGCATCGAAACTTGAAAAAAAATAATTTATGTGAACGAAGAAATAAATGTCAGCCGAAAACAACGAGTGTGAGATCAACGTCTGTGGGGCCACATCTGATGCTACGAGTTCACTGTATAGTATGCAAATGACGAAATTTTAGTGGTGAAGCTGGTCTTAATCGATCTTTTTGTATCCGGGATACGTGGTAATGCATGTGGGTATCATAAACGGGTGTGCGCCACCCACATTTGCGAATGCCCGCAACTCACCATTGATTCATTAAATATGAAGGTAACAGTTGGTCCAGCAAGTGGGTATGTGCCGCAGAAATCGGCGTTGCCTGTCAAAAAACTATCGTCATCATAAACACGATTGTGCCACAGAAAATGAGTGAATTCGACCACACACAACTTCCGTTAAGAAGGAAAATGGCGACAGCTAACACAAGAAATGGGGGGTGCGTTAATATAGTCAAACCACATTCAAGAGACACTTTGTGGTTATAAAAAGAGGTGGCTATACTACCACCTCGAAGCTCAATAATGTGTCGAAGAGCAGGAATACAAGGCCTCTGAAAGAATTCTAAAACGAATGTGTTCACCTGACGAAGGGAACGCAATCAGCTTCGCTCATACATCGGTGTTTACAAAACAGAGCTGGTTGATCTTTCTTTTTTTTTTTGAAAGTGCGCCCTTCGGGCTTTTCATTGGCGATTTAAAGCACCAGCAGATTGCGGCCTCATAGCTACCCTAATGGAGGCAGAACTAATAAATTCTTATCTTTCACCCGTACGATTTATGACGTAGTACAGCAGCTGCATAGTAGATAATCTTGCAGCATATATGTCAGTGCACCCGAAAAAAAAATGTACACACTGATCAATCCGATGTGGGTTACATACTCTCCGTATCGTTTTTTAACTCATCTTATAGATAACCCGCTATGTTTCACCAATTATCTGCAATTTCTCTTCATTTCATTCATTATGACCCTCGGGTCCAGTCGCTAGACAATACTCTTCCTAAATTGTGCATGCAACACCTATTTCGAAACTGGCAATTGGTACTTAATATATATAAATAATTAATTAGCGTTCCTAAGAATTAAACAATACAGAAAGTATCGGGATAAATCATTTCATACTTAGCGAATCTCCTGTCCAGAATAAAACAAACAACGTCCAAAACTACTCGATATATATTCAGATATTTACCAACAAGCCCATCAATGAATTCTTCTTGAAAAAATTGGCTATGACATTGTGGAGCTGCTCCTAATGGTCAATGTCCACGATGCGTGCGAGAAGGTTGTTGCATTTGCGTGAGGAACATGGCGAAAAATGATTGATAGAAGTACGCTGCGTTGAGTGAAACAACGGAAATCAGGGCTCTACTAACGCATGTGGAAGAGCGCGCCTATCGCTTGTACCTTCGTCCTCCTCGTAAACGATGGCCACCGAGCGCCACTGCCAGTGGCTCATCAGGGCCACGTAGGCCTCGGCCAGCACGGCGGGGTCCGGGAACAGGTTCAGGGAGTCGTCGTACGCCTCCTGAGCCGGGTCCCAGCGGGTCTCCAGGTGCGGCACGTTCAGGCTGTTGCACACGTCACTCACGTGCTCACCGCTCACCGACGACATGGGACCGAACACGGCTCCCACGCCCCGCAGCAAGAGCCGACACGCTGTTGAATGAAAGAACGCCCAACTTTGATTACTCAACGCTCAGAATTAGTTAGATAAACACAGTAAATGATAACGACACCAATGGACGACCGTGCATTTGTTTGCAATCCTTGCTTGCTCTGTGTGTACTACTCAGTATAACGTGGGTTATTACCATAGATTGCATTTTTGAAAGAAATATACTTTCTTAGTGCGCAGGGCACGTTTTCAGAAGGAAGACAGAACCGAGAGATAGGACAGAGCGCGCTCTGTCCTATATCTCGGCTCTATCTTCCTTCTGAAAACGTTCCCTATGCACTAAGAAAGTATTTTTTTTTTCCTCAGAAATGCAATGCCAACCAGCCCAAATAGCCACTTTTTTGCAGCATAGATTGGCCCACAAAGGGCGGAATAGGCAAGGGGAGGGGGAGGAAGGCTCTAGTTATTTAAATGGTGTGCCAAATCTGCCTGATTCCCTTGCTCAAAGACACATATCTCGCTATTGTTTAAGCCACATGGTTATTAGCATACAGGTTTTTCACAAAATTGACAAACGAGAACGAAATATATTGTCACGGATTTGAACAGTTGTGTGCTTACCATTCTGACTCTCGCAAAGCACAAAGCCAAAAGCAGGCTACTGTGAGAAGCACGCCAGCGCATAACTTTCATTTCATTTATGCGTGCATATTCTGAAGCTTGGCCTATTTCGGACTCAACTATTCGTCGGGGTAGGTGGGAGAGTGCGCTGCGGTGAAGCACTGCCCTAAACCCTGCACGCACCTATGCTTGTTAGTTTAATATCCTATCACGTCTGACTAGATTCTGTTAGGTTTTAATGGGTTAGGCTAGGAACAACAGCGTCTAAAATTCGAATGCCCTCCGCCTTACACTTTGCCTGCCCCGCCACGGTGGTCTAGTGGCTAAGGTACTCGGCTGCTGACCCGCAGGTCGCGGGATGAAATCCCGGCTGCGGCGGCTGCATTTCCGATGGAGGCGGAAATGTTGTAGGCCCGTGTGCTCCGATTTGGGTGCACGTTAAAGAACCCCAGGTGGTCGAAATTTCCGGAGCCCTCTAGTACGGCGTCTCTCATAATCATATGGTGGTTTTGGGACGTTAAACCCCACATATCAATCAATCAATTACTCTTTGCCTACGCCTCGAGCCCTCGCAAGGCGTCGGCTGTGGGGCACCGCGAAATACTGCCATGGACTCCGGATATTTCGGCAACCGTGAGCGGGCCTGTACATGCGCAGCCACAGCACTTCCGATGCACTAATACTCACATTACTTGTGCATTTGTCCACCTTTCTAAAAGCCCACACGAAGGCGCCCTAAAATTATATGCATGATGTGCTTCTGCATTTTCCTTTTCTTAACAGATATAAATATGTACGTCCATTGCGAACCCACAATGTCGAAAATTACCTGAGTGTTAGTGTATAATTCTATCAAGGAGGTTACGTACATTACATGAAATGTATAAACGTATATTTAAAATTACGCTTAGTCTCTAGTATATAGGCCAACGCAAAGCGTGCGTACTCACTGTCCCTGACCGCTTCGTAACTGTCGTCTTCCGGAAGCAGCTCCACGAGAGGAACCAAGTCCGGCTCCATGTTTATTGTCGAGTCCTCATTGACGACATCTACGGCTGCTTGGAACAAGAGTGCGTCCTCCTTGGTCTCGAAGACACCTCCTGTCACGTGGGAAAAAATATAAGAAATAAAATTGGCAGATCTTACGTACAGTGAGAATCGATGGTATGCGAAGCATGAATGAGAAAGGGTTTGCATGTCACTTTAAAACCAGCACAACGTTACGAGGTGGAAGTAAATGATGCCATGCATGACTTCCATGACATGATTATTATGTTTGGATGTGTAGTTCACCTTGGTCATCTATTCACGTCACATGACACCAAACTTAGTACATGTGGAGCTAGCGATACGACCACGAGCATGCTACGAGCGTGCTAAGTTGTCATGTTCTTACATGACATGCGTGTCAGGATTATCAAGTTTCCACCAGTCATATATTTTCGTCATTAATTTGCGTAACGTAACACCAAATTTGGTGTATGTGACGCTAGCGAAATGGCCGTGCGCGCATCATGAAGAGCCCAATATACTCCAATGTAGCGTTGACGCGCGCGCACGCTGGGCACAACGACGCTACGTTAGCAAAACACGAGCACTCTATAGTCTGATTCCAGGCGCCACGGGTGTCCGTCGGCGTGGTCGGACGACAGCGGGCGCGAAATGCGGCATACTATATTTCGCGCCGATGTGTTACCCAGGCAACACTGCGTGTTCCTCTTTTCGGGAGGGAGGGACGCCGGACGCGCTGAAACGTGCATGCGTCAAAGCAACGCAGTGCTGCGCGCGCCTGCGAGTATATGGCAAGACCGGCGCCTGGCGTGGTAACGCCGGCGTGACACGACGAAATGAACGCTTGCGAGCACGCGCACCGCGTCACGTCGAAATGTATTGGTGACTTGACTGTGGCATGTAGTCATGTTCTCACATGACACGCATCTCATGATGATCATGTTTGCACCAGTCACATACCTTCGTCATCCATTGGCGTCACGTTATAAAAAATTTGGCATATGTGAAACTAGCAAAACGGCCGCGAGCACATCATCAGCGGCGCATGTAGTCATGTTGTTACATGACACGCATGTCGTGATTTTCATGTTTGGAAGTGTCACTTACCTATGTCATCCGTTGGCGTCGCGTAATACCGAGTTTGGTACATGTGAAGCTAGCGATATGGCCGCGAGCGCATCATGAGCGTAGCATGTAGTCATGTTGTTACATGACACGTATCTCATGCTTATCATGTTTGCACCAGTATTATACCTTCGTCCTTCATCCATGTCCCGTAATACCATATTTTGTATAAGTGAAGCTAGCGAAATGGCCGCGAGCGCATCATGAGCGTGGAATGTATTCATGTTGTTGTATGACACGCATCTGAAGATTATTACATTTGCACCAGTCACTTACCTTCGTCATTCATTCACGTACCATAATACCAAATTTCATATATGTGACACTAGCGAAACAGCCGCGAGCGCATTATGAGCTTGGCATGTAGTAATGTTGTTTCATTACACGCATGTCATGATTTTCATGTGAGGGCCTTTCGCTTGTGCTCGCCATACATTCATGTCATATCATACCTGTTTTGCAACATCTCATGTGAACGAAAGAACCGCAAGAGCTGCCGGACCATGAAACTTAATTCATGACATTCATGAAATCCATGTGATGAATTTTGTGTTATGGCTAGTCAGATATGCTCTTCATACAGGCATGTTATGCAATACCAAGTTTGGTATCGATACGATTATCGAAACGGCCAGGAGAGCTAAAAGTCGTAGGTGGCAAGATAGATAGATAGATAGATAGATAGATAGATAGATAGATAGATAGATAGATAGATAGATAGATAGATAGATAGATAGATAGATAGATAGATAGATAGATAGATAGATAGATAGATAGATAGATAGACAGACAGACAGACAGACAGACAGACAGACAGACAGACAGACAGACAGATAGATAGATAGATAGATAGACAGATAGACAGATAGATAGATAGACAGACAGACAGACAGACAGACAGACAGACAGACAGACAGACAGACAGACAGACAGACAGACAGATAGATAGATAGATAGATAGATAGATAGATAGATAGATAGATAGATAGATAGATAGATAGATAGATAGATAGATAGATAGATAGATAGATAGATAGATAGATAGATAGATACGCTCAATGTTGCCGAAGTTCACTAAGAAATGCCTCGCATTTAAAATAGTTTGATAAGCAATCCGGGAGCTCTCTTTACGTTGTCTTTTGGTATTTATTTATTTATTTACTTATTTTTCAATTTTTTTATGCCCGGCGTCACCAAAACTGCCCTGATTGGTCGAGCTAGTGGCGTCAGTGTGTTCCCACGAACTTGATATGATGCCTAGAGTCTTACGTTTCGGCGCCAGTGCCGGAACGTTAGGTCACACGTTCACATTCAGGTAATGATAAATCGTGCTGACGTAGAGTGTAAAAGCACCTCTATAAAAGATCGCATTGCCACAACAGGAATGGCTGATCCCAGACAATAGAATGATTGAGAGTTTATTACTTTTTTCAAAAGTACTTATACAAGTACATCTGTAACCAGTGCATTTTTGATGGCCATGTTTGTTAATCAGCTCTGGCTAATCTTGTATGATGACGCTGCCATCAATTATCTCGTTGCATACGTGAACGGCTCCACTGACGCCAGCCGATACCACTGGTAGGTGTTCATGGCCCTAGCCAAAAGGCCGAGAAGCAACACTGGAGTGTGCTGCCATATGAGTGGCCCGCGGGACGGCTTCAGGCTCTCCCATAGTCGAGTACTAAGTACTCGAAATCGTTGACCACATTTTCTAAACAATTTAGAAGTCCCTGCATAATGCAGATGTCACTTACTGTTTAACATTACTTCGCTATTGATGCGGTATACCAAACGCAGATTTTTTACATCGCAAATATTCTCGACGTTGAATTATCAACGAATAATGGCATTCTTGTTACACTCGTAATCCTCAATCCAGAAAATGCTCCAACTAACAGCGCCTCACCATTAGATCCGACTGGCGCTTCACAGTTCGACAACGCCAAAAACAAGTATTTCTAATTTCGAAGTATTTTCTAAATCTCCAGAGTAAAAATTCGATTGCCTGTAATCCCACGCCATAACGCACCTTCGGTGCCCTAAAACCATGGTGCACAACATCTACGTCCTATTGGCGATTAATAGTTTCACAGCGAAATTCCTAACACGAACAGGCTGCTCCACTGGTGATTATCTCTCGTTTGTTTGATGCCGATTTCGACTCGACGCTCAAAAGACTAGAAGCCTGCTCGCCTCTGTGCAAGCGTTCTTTCGGTGTGCTCTAATGACGGCTAAGCGACGCCTTAGAGGGCGCTGAGGTCGTAGCGAACATTTCATTAGATGCAGAGAATTCAGGGATTTCCTGTCGTTAACCAGGATGAGGCTAGACTGTGCATCGTGTCAGCCCAGTGAAGTAAGTCTTCCATTGTTCCTAACTTTTGCGTGTAACGCTTGAATTAGGTTTATTTCAGTGTTTTGACATGTTTCAGAATTTGTGCTTTGTGAGTTTTCCACCAGCATCTGAAACGGTCATTTTTTTTTTTCTGGAAGCCATGAAAGGTAATAGCCGTCAGTCTAGGCTAGCTAAACCAGCAATGCTCCGGCATACATCCATTCGTAAATCAATGCAGCAGTGATGTTTCCCGTTTCTTACAATACGAGTTCAAAAAATTGCACTCCGAAACTGTACAAAGATACCAACTTCACTCGATTTCATAAAAGTTATTAGGACCCATCGAAAAGTCAGACACGTTAAAATATTTTTAACAACTATATCAGTTTTTACGGCCATGCCGTTTCTAATGTTTTTCATGGGGTTATATTGATATTTTTTTGTTAGTGAGGTAGCAGAATCTTTCGATCCATTCGGAGAAAAGATAAATCAGTGTCGTGACGAGGGGAAGGGGGTAGCAGGCCTAGAAGGCTAAGGGAGATGGTAAAGTGCGCCAGAGATTGAACCTTGTTTCGAGAAAAACGAGGCAATGCGCGAAAATCAAAACGGCCAAGTAATGACCAGCGCAAGCATCGAAGAGATATGGAAGAGGGGAAAATAAACCATCGCCACCCATTCGGAAGCCATTAATAAACTTCAATTACAGACCTTCCGTCGGACGTCGAGGACGTTCGCCGGAAGCTGGAGCAATAAATCTGTTGCAACTCTGAAACGATTCGCAGGTATACGAGCAAGGAGGGATGGCTTGTACACAATCGTGAAAAAATGAGAGAAACTAACAACACAACACAAAACGGCGAGGTAAAGAAAGCAAAAGGAATAAAGGGACAACAGTTGACGGTAGGCGTTTGCCACTGCGGCCGTTGTCATGGAGACGCCAAGGTACCGTTTCGAAAAGAGTCGTACATTGAAGCCAGCTACAATTCGTGTGAATTGACTGGTGGACAAAACCCAAGCTTCAAAAAAGCGCCGAAGATAACGAGAGAAAGAGTAACCCACCTGCTAGGAAATCGAGGGGAATGGTAGGGAAAGAGGGAGGGGAGTTAGAAGATGGCGGGTGAGAATGGTAAAAGGTCGAGACAATGAGGGCGGAAATAAGAGTAAGGCAGCGCTGTGTGTATGTGTATTTTCTAAATGTTCCGTCTTTTTTGCGCTGATAAATCAGTCTAAATAATCATGAACCAACTCGCCCAAGCAACAGTTTTAGGGAGGTGAGAGGGAGCGTAATCGTAGGGAAGGGTGAAAGAGTGGAAATCAGGTAAGGGAAGTCGGAACGTTTAAGGTGACAAAAAGAATATGAGGCTGAGGCAAGGGAGAGTCGAAGGGTAAGACGAGTGAGAGTATTTCGATGAGGTAAGAGTGTGAGAGTGGTAATGGGGGAATGAGTGTAGCTGGTAGATGTCAGTGACGTTTTCTTTAGTTCTTATTGAAAGAAGGGGTAGGGAAAATTAGGTTGGGGTTGTATAACAAAAGAACTTTTCCGTCCCATGCTCGGAGGAATGACATATCAGAGAGCCACGCGCCGCTTCAATTTACGCTGTGCAGAACGCCGCACGAGTCAAACGAAAT